TTTGTAAAATAGAAGAGCAAAGAGCGGTAGTGCTTGGACATTACGTATTCTCCGCGTGAAACGTGGACGTGTAAGAGAGTCGCGAATTCCGCAGATGATGTAAATTACGTGGAAATATTTCAACAGTGCGCAGCGACGAAGCCACGACGCGAGTCTACCTTTATCACGGTATCGGTGAAATTCAAGTCCAGGGCCGTTGGCGACGAAGGACAGAGGGAGAGAAGCGAAATTTATCATCGCCATTACGTTACCATTTCAGGCACGTTTGTGACCGAGTGCCTTATACTTCAGAAGACGGTTACTTTTCCAGACACGTCTATAGCTATAGTATATCCGGATATCATACAGCTCCGGCGAAAATGCATACGCTTTTATCTTTTGCCACGACCTGACGCGACTTTTCATAATGAAAGTTCCGTCAATCATACTTGTCCCTTTTACCAACCATTCTTTTTGTTCCCTCTCTCTCTCTCTCTCTCTCTCTTTCTCTCTCTCTCCTCTTCTTCTCTTTTTTTTAATTTGTGTTCCACAATTCCTATCGCGAATTCGTGGCAGTGCTTGATCAAAGTTTATGAAAATGTATTTGAAGAAGAAAATAGAAGAACGTGTATCACCAATTGCCAGGGATTGCAGCCCCCGTGTCCCGCAATAACAGGGTAAATTGTGCGGGATGAAATAGACATAAAAAAATGTAAAACGCGACTACAGAGAAATACATATAGGTAGATGCAGTGGCTGAAAAAAATATTCGGGCATTTGTATCAGTCGTTTATAAATCAATATATTATGCGTGTTGTGCGAAACATTTTGATATTTCCTTAGCACTGCAATAAGAATCGACTATCAGAATTATGCTGGTAGAGTTTGAAATAAATTTGGAAATATATATAAAAGTAATAAGATATTTACTACAACTAATTATATTAATGATCCTCAATAAAAATGAAATTATTTGTAATACCAATTATATGTATAAGATGCTCCAGTCATTTATTAAATATTTGTCTGCAATAAATATCTTGCAACTTCTACATAGACTTTCAAATCGCTTTTAAATTTTACCAATATAATTATGACAGCTGTACCTCATTACAATGGTAGTGAAATTTCAAAATGTTTTATATAACACACACAATATATATGTATATAAAAGTTTTCTGTGACAAGTCAATGTCGCGAATTACTGTATATCAGTGTTCGTTAGAATAAGGTGACCCAAACATTAACCGTATCTGAATGAAACGTAATTTTTTTTAAACAAGTGCTATTGTTCATTCTTGTATACCATAGAAAAATGAAGGATTTCGGATAGATTTACGATTCGAGATTGTGTAATGTGTATAGATGGTGTAGAACAAAGACTGGAGGTTTCTTTGAAAGGAAACAAAGTCCATTTTCGCCCAAGTCTTCGGTGTTAAATGGAAACAGAACAACAATGCGTGTATAACACCTTTCGTAAAAATACAGATAAAAGTACGGTAAGAGAATTCTACGTTAATGACACCCCTTTGTTTTCCCGCGAACTCGTAACGAACAATAGCTGGTGGAGTCAATTGCAGCGTCGAAACAAATACGTTTTAGACACCTTCGAACCTATGTTTCGTATTAATTTGAATAAATACCGCTGCGTTTGAACAGCTCTCCGACTGTTTTATTCCAACATTCCGATTACAGTCGAAAAGATATTGGCCGACGAAGTCACTTTTGTTTAATCCGGTAATGGAAGAAATTTTATGAATGTAAACGCCGATGTTTGAGCAAACTGCGTTGGCTTTCACCATACTTTGATAACACGAACGCGAAATGGAACTGTAAGGAAGAGCAAAACGAAAAATGTAGTTGATGTATTAAAGCTAAAGTAACTTTATGCGGAACTCTATGGGTAAATTGGGATTGACACACAATCACTGATTTTTCCTGTCTTATATTTCATAGTTGCCACTGCACGCTAAAAAATGTCGATGTATTTCATAAATCCTTCCTTGACGAGATATCCACATGGTATTATAACGAATAGTAATTTTAGTTTCTTATTTTGTGCGTATAAAACATATTAAGAATGATATAAAAATATCGCGACAGGAGTTTATTGGACAAACTGATATAATTTTATGAATCGTCAAGAAGAATCGAATTCGTTAAAATATGTGTATTAAAATTTAACGAACATTTTGTATCTCGATTTATGACTTTTCTTTCTTAACAGATTTGCTCAATGTGGCCGCCAGAACATACGAGGAACATTCAGTTTCAAAAGTGTGTCACCTCGTTAAAAGGATTGAAAAAGATTTCTCATTTCGCGGAGGGCCTCCATACATTTTCCCTCTGTTCTATTTTTCTTGACATGACGCGCTCCGGCTCTCAGCCACGTCGTTGTTAAATTTAAATAATACAATTTCGAATTGCATTTGAGATAGTCGGATGAAAATCTCATCTCTTTGGATTAACCGAATTTTAATCGTATCTTTGAAATCCGAACAGTTCATTAACAGCTACAATTTCCAAGTACAACGGAGAGTCACTTTTTACGTCCAATTCTTGTTTTAGTCTTTATAATTCAAATTCACGTTTACCTTTTTCCTATTCATCTCTTTCCTTTTTCGAACGAAACGAAACAACCTCCTTCATGTTTTGCATAAAACAGTTTTAAGTAAGACCCTCTGCAGTAAGCAATTTATTTCTACAAAAATGCTAATTAAAAATCTCGTAGCAAAGAACGAGCAATGAAATTTCAATGCATTTTCGCGTGGTTTCCGCAAATAGAAAATTATTCCAATGTCTTGTGACATTACGCTACTGATCAGAAAACTGAAAACGTGATTTATTGGAGAACTTATTTTAAAAATTAATTACCTCACAGTCATATCGAAGTGCACGGAGAATATTTATCTGGTACAAATATTATAAATAATTTAGTTTTCTGTGTGTAGTAACATGAAAAATTTTCTAAATAACAAGGAAATAAAAATAATGAAAAGTATTAAATCTATATTAAATGTCGTTTTGCACAATTGAACTAATGTTGTTTTTACGAGTTTTTACGGGCGAAATTTTACAAGTCACAAATTACTTGTTATCGGTATTAATAAACATCTTTACATAACATTAGCAAGTTTAAAAATGGAAGAAATTAAATTTTTCACATACATTCTATCAATTACATGTTATCTGATATAATCTCTCCTATTAGGATAAGAAAAATTATAAAATAGCAAAAAAGGAGTTTAAACAGTGTAAATAAAAGGTCGGTTAAAAGATCGGCGATTTCTTGTTTTGCCTGCTCGTTCCTTTCAAAACGAGCCATTAACCCTGGTTGCATTATAATTCTACACTCATGCATAAAACGTATGTAACAGTGCATAACACATCATCGTGTCTGCTAACGAACCTCTTGCCAACGTGCTTGTGACGAGGGTCGCAGAAAGAAAATGCTCGTTTGCTCGTACCTCGTACGATTGCCTTGTCTGCGCGCAATGTCCCGCATTCGCGATTCTTTTATTAGTCTCGCAATTTTACCAACACGACAGTTATCGTTCTCTTGAATGGAGGATATTATACCGCGTGGGAAAATTCGATAAAATATTACTGATACGGTGTTATAAGTTTTGTTCAGACCGCCTGTATATAAATATATCATTCGGACAAATTATTTGCTTCTTTTGAGGATACTGATGAATATCTGGTTTATTTCGGACATATTAGTAATTCATTGTGAGTAAACTAAGTCGTTGGTGCTAAGCAAAATACAATCTCCTTGGAACTCTTTCCTTCGATTTTCTACTTTTGACGATAAGTTTTAAACATTTGACTTAAGGAACAGTTAGAGGAATTTCAGAATTTCTTCACATTTTTTTTTTTTAAATTTAGAAGTGTGATAAAACACGTTTGCTTTTTAAGCAAACTCTCCCGCTTAGAAGCAATAAATAGATAGAAGCAATAGATGAAAATCCGAATTATGCTCTTCGGTAATAAGTATTGTCAAGGTCTTGTGTTGGTAAATAATTGTTTCGTTTGCTAAGTACATAATGGATTCTACGAGCATTATGTGAGCTAATAAAATTATCGGGTGGTTGATTGGATGCGACTCGGTTCTGGCGAGAAACGAAAATGTTCGTGTCAATACTGATCATGAAGTATGTTTTCGCACGTTCGCGGGGAGACACGATCTCGAAGAAGCGCGCCAACGGGAGTCGTAAATTCCCGTTACGATTTACTAATCGACGCCGCGAATCGTTCGATCCCTTATTTCTTTTGGGATAATAAGGGTAGTTAAATTAAAGATAACGCCGCTACTAACAGGTTATTATATATTCTCACAAACCAACAACTTCGGTGTACCACAAAATGAATAATTGTTATAGATGACTACGAATGAGTGCGATCTGAGTCTCTAGTTGGATTATCGCGTATAATGATGGATTTGTCGACTCACTGTATTCGACTTGTTGACTGCTTGAAGAGATGCTTGATTGAGACTGAGCTTTTCGCTCTTGTGTTTTTCCGAAGGAAAGCTTGGTGTGGGTGTGCCCTTTGAATAAAGAACGCGGATTCGTTGTTCACACTTTTCGTTAAGGAGGTGAGGGTAAACATCCGCGATGCCGATTGGTTATGACCCCTGCTAATGAAGAAGGATATGGGGAAGTCTCCCACCAACGTGGATCGGGGTGACTTCATTCTTGGGGAAAACCAGTTGTTTTAGGTGGCCATGTGTTCGGTTTTCCGTTCGGCGACTACCCGCTTTCTCCGTGAATTTTGAAAGCCTAATAAACTCAAGAACTTCTCCGAAACTCTGACATAACCGAAAATACTTCTAGGCAATAGTTTGATTGGCAAACGTGTGGAAACAATGCAGCTAAAAAGTGCCGTTTTATGGTGGGTCCTTGAGTTCATTGAGGGTTTGGAAGGCTATCGGTGGGCCGCTGGCTGCCAGGTAGCGTCGGCTGAAATGCAGATGTTCCATGCGACGCAACATCCTCCCCCCCGTTGAGAGGGCTATCAAGTTCTATATGTGGGTTAGATGGGTGTGTGATCCACCTCCTTCGATGTCAGTGATTGTCCGGACTCATCTTGAGCTGATTGACATGGCAAGGGGACCAGTCGTTTGACGCCGCGGTCCAGGAGGCTCGATGATGTCTGCATTGTCGCTGTCCGTATTATGCCATCGGTTTCGGGATGGACCTACACGGCCCAAGGGCCAATGCATCGATGGAACGTTGTCTTCTCTGAGGAGGACGATTGTACCTTCTTGTATGTTGTGTCCACCCTTGGTCCATTTACTGCGGTTGTTGAATTAATTGAGATACTCCTTATGCCAGCGTTTCCAAAAATGTTGTTTAAGTTTTTGGATATGCTGCCACCTGGAGAGCCGGTTGGATGGAGTGTCCCTGAAATCTCGCTCACGCACGCTCATTAATGACTCGCCGATGAGGAAATGACCCGGAGTGAGGACGAGGAGATCCTTGGGATCAGTGGATATGGGTGTTAATGGTCGGGAGTTGAGAACTGCTTCGATTTCTATGACAAGTGTATTGAATTGCTCGAACGTAAACGACTCATTACCGAGCAATTCATTACCGACGATGCGTTTGAAGTGATGTTTGAAGGACTTCACCGCTGCCTCACATAGTCCCCCGAAATGTGGAGAATGAGGGGGTATGAAGTGCCATTCGATTTGCTTGTTGGCTAGGAAAGTAGTTACCTTTTCGATGTGATCGTCCGATTTTAGCAATTCGTAGAGCTCCCTTAAGTCGTTGTTTGCGCCGATGAAATTTGAGCCATTATCGGAATGGAGGGTCGAACAAAACCTTCGCCGTGCGATGAATCGAAGAAGAGCAGCGATGAAGGATTCGCTCGTGAGATCTCCAACGAGTTCGATGTGCACCGCCTTGACTGCTAGGCATATGAAGATGGCTACATACATCTTGACCTGTCGACGGTTACGATCTCGTTTCTCCTTGATGTAAAATGGCCCACAGTAATCGACGCCGACGTTTGTAAATGGTCGAGATTCAGTTACTCGAGCCTCCGGCAGATTACTCATTATGTAATCTACTTGTGGTGGATGAGCACGAACGCAGCAGACGCAGTTTTTGATTGTATGCCATACCTGACTTCTGCCATCGATGGGCCAGTATCGCTGTCTCACTGCGTATAAAGTCGCTTGTGTACCTGCATGCAGACTGACCTTGTGCTCGTTTTCGATGATCCGGGACGTTGTCAGAGATTTGGGTAGGATGATCGGGTGCTTCTGTGTGAAAGCCATCGATGCTTGATTCAGTCGGCCCCCGACGCGCAATATTCCTGCTTTGTCTATAAACGGATTGAGTCGTTGGAGTTTCCCATTGACCGGCATATTCTGAAAAATGAATATGTTGGAGTAACCGAATGAGTTTGTCATGGGAAACCTGTAATTCTTCTGCGCTTAGTGGTGACGATCGGTTTTGTGGTTGTCTCCACCGGAGATAGCGAGCGGCGATGCGCATTAACCTTGGCCACGATGAAAATCTGTCCAAGAGGCTGTTGTCGACAGGAGTTGTGGCGAGACAAGTTGCTGCTTTCCGTCCTGGTAAGTTGGCTAAAGGTTGGACTCCACATCGGCCAACATTCTTCTGGTTGTTGCAGCCACCGTGGTCCATTTTGCCACATGTTAGGCTGCAGGAAGTCTTCGGGTGATTGTCCTCGAGAAATCAGATCCGCGGGATTGTCATTGGTGGGAATATAACGCCAATCTGTGAAGCTAGTTTTGTTCTGTATCTCGGCTAGGCGATTTGCGATGAATTTCAGTGTGTGAGGTGACGAATTGATCCACTTGAGAACAATGGTGGAATCCGTCCAATAAACTGTACGATTTACCTCGATATGCAATGCTTGCCTTATGATTGCAATTAGTGACATGAGTAGAAGAGCGCCACTCAGTTCAAGTCATGGAATGGTTTGCGTTTTGAGCGGAGCTACCTTCGATTTCGCAGTGAGTAGTCGTGTCTGGACGTTTCCGTAATGATCGAGAGACCTCAGATAGACACAGACTCCGTATGCCCTTTCGCTGGCGTCACAAAAGCCGTGGAGCTCAATCTCGATGGGTGTTTTTATTATGGTCTTGCGTGGGAACCGTATCTCGTTGAGTAGTGATAGTTTGGTGTAGTAACGGTTCCACTCGGAATGCAAATCCGCTGGCAGGGCCTCGTCCCAATCGACCTTTAGCGACTAGACCCGTTGAAGTATAATCTTCGCTCGAACGATCACTGTTGCAAGCAATCCTAGTGGGTCGTAGATTCTGGCGATCACCGAGCTGATGGATCGCTTTGTAACCCGAGAGGTCTTGGTGTTGGCTTCGACTGAGTAGAGTATTGCGTCGTCCTTAGAATCCCAAAATATGCCTAGTGTTTTTAGGGTTTGATACTCACCTAATTGTAGCCTTCGGCTTTTGTCCTGTTCGGATAACCCTTGGCTCACCTAATTGTAACCTTCGGCTTTTATCTTGTTCGGATAACCTTTGGAGGATGCTCTAGTCGTTGGAAGATATTCTCGAATATTCAAACCGGCGGATTGGAGAAGTTCGGTTAGTTTCTTTCTGAGGGACAGTACCTCTTCCTTCGTGTCCGCTCCGGTGAGGGCGTCATCGACGTATAAGTCTCGTCGCAAGGCCGATGACGCTCCTGGAAATCGATGTCCTTCGTCGTCTGCCAACTGCTTGAGACACCGTAGGGCCAGGTATGGAGCTGCCGATAAACCGAACGTCAATGGAGCTGCCGATAACCCGAACGTCACGGTGTTAAGTTGGTAGGTGTCGATTTCCCCCTCCTCGTTTCGCCAAACGATTTGTTGATAGTGTCGGTCCTCTGGTCGCACCAGGAACTGCCTCTACATCTTCTCGATTTCCCCGGTGAGTACATACTGATGCAGACGGAATCTAAGCAGGATATTGAATAGATCCTCTTGTAACTTGGACCCTGTATAGAGTGTGTCGTTTAATGATACTCCGGTGCTGCTAGCCGCGGATCCGTCGCACA